TTGGAAGATTTCGAACCGTACGTCCCTATAGTGATGGCCTTGAGGAACCCCGGCATGAGGGAGAGGCATTGGGAGGCTGTAGGGCAGTTGTTGGCCCGGGAGGACGAGGAACCGGTTAAGGTTGGTCCGAGCTATGCTGATGATAATATGGATGGGAGCACGAACTTCAATCTGGAGGCACTACTGGGCATGGGCATCCTCAAAGTGACGGATAAGGTAGCGGAGGTTGGCGAGAGAAGTGCTAAGGAGTTCAGTATTGAGAAACAGCTGAGAGGCATGCAGGAGGCTTGGCAAACGGTCGAGTTCGACTGTAGAGAGACTTATCGTAATACTGGTACTTACATATTGAAGGGCTCTGAGGAAGCGTCGATGCTACTGGATGAGCATATAGTGCTCACTCAAGCAATGCAGTTCTCCATATTCAACAAGCCCTTCAAGGAGGAGATCGATGCCTGGGCTACTAAACTACTCTATGTGTCGGAGTGCTTGGAAGCGTGGTTGAAGGTGGGACTGTCGTAGGTAGTCATGATTATGAGTAAGTCTTAGGTCCAACGTGCATGGATGTACCTCCAACCCATCTTTGATTCGCCCGATCTGATGGTGCAGCTGCCTAGCGAGGGTAAGAAGTTCAAGTCGGTGGACCACGTGTGGCGACAAGTGATGGGTCGGGTGGCGAAGGACTGCAAGGTTATCAATGCTTGCTCACAAGAGGGGCTCCTTGAGAAGTGGACCCAAGCTATCGAGGACTTGGAGTGGGTTCAGAAGGGCCTTGAAGACTATCTTGAAGTCAAGAGAGGTGAGCCTGTACTCATATTTTGTTATTGACAAATCTGCTTGGTGTTTTCAGCGGCTTTTGCGAGATTCTATTTCTTGTCAAATGACGAGCTGTTGGAAATCCTCTCTCAAACTAAGGATCCTACTAGGGTCCAGCCTTTCCTCTGTAAAGTATTCGAGAACATGGCCAGTCTGGCATTCAATGACGACCTCACTGTATCTAGTATGAGCAGTCTAGAGGGGGAGAACGTAACGTTCGTAGAGTTACTCTCGACGGCTGGTTGCAACGTTGAACACTGGATGACGGAGGTGATGTGACTTACTATCTTCATACCACACCATCGCTGATTCAGGTCGAGAAAGCCATGAGAGAGGCAGTGAGAGCAGCGCTGTATAACGCTGTGTTGACGTATGTAGACGTGCCTCGCACAGAGTGGTGTGTGAGCCATCCAGCACAGACCGTCCTCAATGCCAGCCAGGTACCACCATAGTTGATCATGTTAGTATTCGAGGCCTTGTTAGATACACTGGACGTCGGAAGTAGAGGTCCATATAAAGGAGGGGACTGTTGGTCTATATGCTGAGCAGCTCCATCAGCAGCTGATGGATCTGGTGGCCCTCATTCGGGGCGGTCTGACCAAACTACAGCGGACAACAGTTGGGGCCTTGGTGGTTATAGACGTCCATGCTAAGGATGTCGTGGAGAAGCTTAATGAGGAGGCTATCACTTCTACCTCGGCATTTGAGTGGATCTCACAGTTGAGATACTATTGGAATAAAGATGATACTGGTAGAGAGAACTGTTGGGTTATGATGGTCCAGACGGACTTCCCCTATGGGTAGGCTGTCGGCTGTCTAGGTTGGTATAAGAGGGGCAGCCTACTTGTGTAGGTACGAGTATCTTGGCAACACCTTCCGACTTGTAATAACCCCACTCACTGACATGTGCTATATGACTCTAATGGGAGCCCAAAGCCTCAATCTAGGAGGGGCGCCTGCTGGCCCTGCTGGTGAGGGGTTCGAATCCACAGGTTGTAGTTGGTAAGATACGAAGTAGGTACGGGAAAGACCGAGACCACCAAGGATCTTGCTAAGGCCCTGGCCAAGCAGTGTGTTGTATTCAACTGCTCTCCTGAGATGGACTACATTATGGTTGGCAAGTTCTTCAAGGGTCTTGCCTGTTCTGGAGCATGGTATCGTCATCAAGCCTCATCCTTAGTGGCTCAGCTTCCTCCTTCTCCTCTCCAGGTGTTGTTTCGATGAGTTCAATCGTATCTACATAGAAGTGCTCTCCGTGATAGCCCAGCAGCTGTTGGTCCTATTTGGTGCTAAGGCCGAGCTGAGCA